TAAAGTCTATCTTGCTATTATCATTATTATTAGTAGATAAAGAGTCCTTGATTATCCTAGAAAGATCTTTTGTAACATCTATTTTATCAAGGAAGATACAGCCAGTTTTTTCAGATGTAAATATAAATATTACCACCGATAGTTATTTTTACTTGCATTAGATATATTTTTTCTCTCAGTGTATGAAGTGAAAGGACAGGCTAATATTTTTCAATTTTACTATGTTTCCAGTAGTACAGGAATAAACTGTTAGTATAAAGTCTATTATCATTATTATTAGTAGATAAAGAGCCCTTGATCTCTGACTTGAAAAGATCTTTTGTAACATCTATTTTGTCAAGGAAAATGGAGCCAATTTTTTCAGATGTAAATATGTTATTACCACCGATAGATATTTTTACTTGCGTTAGATATATTTTTTCCTTCAGTGTATGAAGTGAAGGGGCAGGCAATTACTGCAGAATGTCGATCTATTTCTCAGTCATAACATTCTGTAGTAATGCTAGGGGATATTCGCGTAAACATATAGATATTGCGAATCTCTGGCGCGCGCGTGCAATCTGACGGATTTTGCGCGTGATAAATTTAATTACGGCTCCGCCGGTTAGCCGTAATGCAATCGCTCGCGAACTTGACGAACGAAATTGTAACGTCGCTCGCTCGCTCGCGATTTCACGCTGTGGAAACGCGCGCGCGTCAGTCTCGGTGAATGAGCAACGCACTTTTACGGCTAATTGGTCACAGGCGAGCGGACGCGAGCGCGAGTTTCGATCTGCCGCCGCCGATAGAATTTCAACGACAGGATATCGGGAGCGAGCGAAGAGGCCGGGGCTCCTTCCTCTCCGCGTGCGCACTTTCCATTGTAAACAACAATTCGCGGGCTGTCGAGATTATCGCGAGATGCCGCAACGACGCGGTGATTGAATAACTCGAGGAGTTCTTACGTAAACGCGCGCACGCACCGCACGGGCTCGATGGTGCATACATTTGCGCGCGCGCTTCTGCTATTGTAATTAAATTATAATTTCACGCGGCGCTTTATTCCTCCCCGATGTCGCAAGCGCGCGTTACCGCCGACAATCGCGCGATCCGCGCGGAAATCAACGATTGACTCGCGATACCGCGGAGGAGGTCCGCGGGGAGTCCGAGTTCAGTCCGAGTGTATTCGGGGCTGTTGAGCAATGGGAATTGCACTCGACTGAAATTATCGGCAGACCGGTAATCAAAGTAAATCAATCATCATATGCAGTCGCGTGTAATTTTATGATTTGGTGCACTGAGAGAAAAATAGTTGCCTTTGGCGTCAACTGTACTCTTTTGTGCATTTTAAGCACAAGAATAGTTAGAAAAACCATTGTTTTAGTAAGTATTATGAGAAGGATGGCTCTTCTAATTATTTTTTTGGTTAAAATAAAAAAAGTGTAGTTGAAAGCAATTATATTTTTCTCTCAGTGTGAAATTAATCGTTAATCAAAATTTGATTAACTCTCAGTTGTACTGCGATTAATTGTATTGTGATTGATGAAATTATTTATTAATCAAATTATTTATTAATCAGTGTGTGGTTTAAGTTTAATTAATAATTAATTTTATCAGTAGATTGAGTTAGTCGATTAGTTGATTAGTTGATGACGATTAATTTGGATTATTGATTTGTCGACTGACATTTTAATCGATTGACATACAGAGAGAACGATTTGTTGAATCAAATAAACGTTTCTTTAGAATAATCCAAACAAATTTTTTGGTTGACACAACAGAAATATTTCTTTGGAACTAAGCCGCAAATAAATATTTTTGTTACGTCAAACAAAACTTTGTTTGATCAATCAAAAAATTGTTTGGAATTCCAAAGAAGTGGTTGTTTGATTCAATCAAATCGTTCTCTCTGTATACCCAACATTAAGAGACAGTCGCACAGTAGGTGAAATTTAAAGAAAAGAGAAGTAAATTGCTAGTTAAAAAAATAAAATACGTACAAAATATATCTTAATTAATAATGATAATGAATATTGTAATAAATTTCCGGTTAATTACTGTGTACTTCAGAATCAGAAATTCTTGCGAAATACGTTCAAATAAAAAAATATATCCATAAAATAACATTAGCAAACGATTAATCAAATTTGTAAGATATTCTGTGCACTCCTCTTTTGCTCTAACAATCAATAATTTGTCGTAAATTAACGTGACATACAATTTATCTTCTTAACCTATTTCTTCGCCTACTTCTATTTAGGTTAATTTACAATAAATTATTGATTGTTAGAGCAAAAGGGGAGTGCACGGAATATCTCACAAACTTGTTTAATCGATTGCAAGTGTTACTTTATGGATATACATTTTTATTTCACCGTATTTCGCAAGAATTTTTAGCATGCATTTTCTCGTTTCTGACGTCATTAAAAAGAGATAGACAGTGCGAGGGGTCAGGAGCCTTAACATTCAAAATTATTTTTTTATTTTTTACATTCTCAACTTCTTCTTTGTATACTTTTATTTTTATCCTAAACTATACTAATTATCTTAACCTCCTTGAAAGAATAATCAATTGTTGCAGAACGTCGGTTCTCAGTTAGAAAAAATTCTACAATAATAATTGTCCAGTTCTGCAATAATTTTTACCATAAAATATTCTCCGTGTAGATGCAATTTAGTGCACCATCCGTCGCGCAATTCAATAATTAATAATAATTCCATAAATCAATAATTTATTGTAAATTAACCTAAATAGAAATAGGTTAAAAAGATGGATTGTATGTCACGTTAATTTACGACAAATTATTCATTGTTAGAGCAAAAGGAGTGTGCACGGAATATCTCACAAATTTGTTTAATCGAATGCAAGTGTTACTTTGAATATATATTTTTATTTCAACATATTTCGCAAGAATTTTTAGCATGCATTTTCTCGCTTCTGACGTCATTAAAAAGAGATAGACAGTGCGAGGGGCTAGAAGCCTTAACATTTAAAATTATCTTACCTCTTTTTACTTTTTATATTCTCAACTTCTCCTTTGTATACTTTTATTTTTATTATCTTAACCTCCTACTTGAAGTCAATTGTTGCAGAACGTCGGTCTATTTCTCAGTTAGAAAAAATTCTACAATAATAATTGTCCAGTTCCGCAATAATTTTTACCATAAAATATTCTCCGTGTAGATGCAATTTAGTGCACCATCTGTCGCGAAATTCAATAATTAATAATTCCCTAAATCAATAATTTATTGTAAATTAACCTAAATAGAAATAGGTTAAAAAGATGAATTGTATGTCACGTTAATTTACGACAAATCATTCATTGTTAGAGCAAAAGAAGTGTGCACGGAATATCTCACAAATTTGTTTAATCGAATGCAAGTGTTACTTTGAATATATATTTTTATTTCAATGTATTTCGCAAGAATTTTTAGCATGCATTTTCTCGCTTCTGACGTCATTAAAAAGAGATAGACAGTGCGAGGGGCCAGGAGCCTTAAATAAGAAATCCCCTTGATTTTTTGAAGCGTCTCGCACCTGTTGCTGAGACCACCGGATCCGGCGCTCGTTGCGAAAACGATTAAACGTAAGGCGATACGTAGGTACGTCGTGCGGCGGCCCGTCCAACCGCGACGATCTCGCAATCGGCGCGAGTTCCGCGGAGTTCTCGCGGTTTTACCGCGGAGCCCGTCGAGTGTTATTGCGCGGCACGCTCGCTTTCGTCTAGCTGTTGCGACGACTCATCGTCCTGTCGAGGGATATCCCTTCGTCCTCTGACCTCCTTCCGATGAACCGTGAACGATCGAAACGCAGTAATGGCTTGCTCGCAACGACGACGACGACGCAAACCTGTTTACGGCGGAGATGTGCTTTGCCGGCACGTCGTTATTATAATGATTAAAGTAAGAGGGCTGATACGCGAAGAACAAAATGTGGTTCTGCTAACGTGAACGTTTGGTTCTTTCGTGAACGAGCCAACGCATTTTGGTCCAAGGAAATGGAATTTCTTGGAATCACATTCAGAAATTCTGTGCACTTCAACCGACATCGTACTTCGTTCATGAAAGATTTTAACACAACTAAACTTCTCTTTGTGTATAACGATCATTCAGAAAGCGGTTCATTTAGAGCCAATTCACGAATCATATGGAGTGAACACTGAGAAAAAAATACTTGAACATTTACTTACGGAATCTAAAGTTTATTCACAGAAATAAACTTTATATCCCACAAATGAATATTTTCAAGTATTTTTTTTTCTCAGTACGATAAAATGATCAACTAAAAGTATCCAATCTAAGGATATTTGTTACATTTATGAAATTTAGATGTCTTGGTCCTTCCCGCAGAAACTTTTTGGCAAATAAAGAATGTTTGATTAGGATATCACAAGGAAAGGAACGAAAAAAACATGTGATTCGTAGTCCTCTGTTTGATTTTCACTATTCTTATTGTTTTATCAATATCAACGAATGTACGTTTTACTCTTTGTTTTTGCTATGTATCCTGTTGCATGTTCTATGAGAATCGTGAATAAACAGCTTCGTTCATAGTCAAGTCCGCTCGCGCGAAAGAGAATTCTGCCTTTTTCCAATTTACAATTAGCCTCGAGATCAAGAACAGATTCGCGATCTTGCACGGCCATCCGGGTTATTAAATTCTTAAGTTATTAACTCGACGATTCGTCCGACGTGTCCGGCATTAGTAACGATAAATTACCGTACAGCAGGCACAATGGCCGTGTGAGGAATACGGGCTCATTCAACAGATACCGATTCAGCTTCGCCGTTCATTCAGCTACATCGCGCGCGGATATCGAGCGATCCATCTTGTGAATCGCAAACAGCTCGTCGTCATTATGCTGCTCCGCGTCAAAATATATCCACCCGCTATTCAAGAGGCGGCTTCATCAAATTTGCGATCAGAGGCTTGAATCAGCGGCTCGTGAACTGGAATCGATTAGTCTCCGTGTACCGTCGCGTGTGTCGTCGCTAATTCCGATCTCTCTTGTGTGTTTCAGCCACCGCGGCGATAGCGAGTACCGTGCAGATCGAGTGTGCGAGCGAGTCGATAATAGTCCGCATCTCGACGGAGGGTAACACGGACTTCCACGGTCTGGTGTATCCGCGCGGGCTCTCGAAGAACAGCTCCTGCCTGCAGGAGTACAGGAGCCAGCCCGCGCCCATCACCTACAATCTGCCTCTGAGGTCCTGCAACACTATGCCTACCGAGCTGGTGAGTTCCTTTCCTCTTTCTTTCTTTTTCTTTAAGACAAATCGAGCAACAGCCACTTTGTTCTTCGACTAACATTTCTGTCGATTTTCTTCTCTCATCATTGATATATTTTTTACACGCGGTGTCAGTCTTTTCTCTTTCTCTCTTCTCTCCTCTTTCTCTCTTTTCACAAATTGAACAACACTTTCGCACGACTTCTGTTGATTTTCTTCCTTCTTCTCTCATCATTGATATATTTTTGACACACGTCAGTTTTTTCTCTTTCTTCTTTCTCCCCTCTTTCTCTCTCTTTCTCTCTTTTTACAAATTGAACATCTCTTCCACAGGACCATCATTTCTGTCGATTTTCCTTCTTCTTCTCTCATCATTGATATATTTTTGACACACGTCAGTCTTTTCTCTTTCTCCCTTTTCTTCCCTCTCTCTCTCTCTCTCTCTCTTTCAGTTTTTTCACAAATTGAACAACTTCATTCTTCTATAGAACAATTATTTTTGTCGATTTTCTTTTTTCTTCTCTCATCATTGATATATTTTTGACACGCGTCAGTCTTTTCTCTTTCTCTCTCTTTCTCTCTTTTCACAAATTGAACAACTCTTCCATAGGATCATCATTTATGTCGATTTTCTTTCTTCTTCTCTCATAATTGATATATTTTTGACACACGGTGTCAGTTTTTTCTCTTTCTCCCTTCTCCCCTCTCTCTCTCTTTCAGTTTTTTTTCACAAATTGAACAACTTCATTCTTCTATAGAACAATTATTTTTGTCGATTTTCTTTTTTCTTCTCTCATCATTAATATATTTTTGACACACGGTGTCAGTCTTTTCTCTTTCTCCCTTCTCCCCTCTCTCTCTCTTTCAGTTTTTTTTCACAAATTGAACAACTTCATTCTTCTATAGAACAATTATTTTTGTCGATTTTCTTTTTTCTTCTCTCATCATTAATATATTTTTGACACGCGTCAGTCTTTTTTCTTTCTCTCTCTTTCTCTCTTTTCAACTTTTCCACAGGACCATCATTTCTGTCGATTTTCTTTCTTCTTCTCTCATAATTGATATATTTTTGACACACGTCAGTTTTTTCTCTTTCTCCCTTCTCCTCTCTCTCTCTTTTTCAATTTTTTTCACAAATTGAACAACTTTATTCTTCTATAGAACAATTATTTTTGTCGATTTTCTTTCTTCTTCTCTCATCATTGATATATTTTTGACACACGTCAGTCTTTTCTCTTTCTCCCTTTTCTTCCCTCTCTCTCTCTCTCTTTCTCTCTTTTCACAAATTGAGCAACAACACTTTGTTCTTCTGCACGATTAACATTTCTGTCGATTTTCTTTCTTCTTCTCTCATAATTGATACATTTTTGACACACGGTGTCAGTCTTTTCTCTTTCTCCCTTCTCCCCCCTCTCTCTCTCTCTTTCTCTCTTTTCACGAATTGAGCAACAACACTTCGTTCTTTCGCACAGCTAACGTTTCTAACCAGACGAGTTTTTTTTCCTTCTTCATTGATGTATTCTCGACATGTGGTGCTCGGAAGCTCATTGTACTCTCAGGTGAGTTCGTGCACGGCGCCGTTCGCAGGGTGCGCGAATCAATCGAGTTACTACCCATTATCCTTAATAAACGCCGTGGAATTATCCCGGATAGGAGGGGGAGGGGGCCACCGTTATTACGTTGCATCACTCGCCGCCGCCGCCGCTCTGCACCTTCGGCGATCGTTTTAATTCGGTTTATCGCCTCCGCCGATTAGCCTGGCTACTGGGCAATTTTCCCGCACCGATAGCGGCAATTACGATTCCCTCGCTTCACTCGCGGGACGCAAATCGAAATTACCCGAAAGGAGGAACGATATCTGATAATTGTGACGCAAGCGGCTCGTGCGTTTTTCCCCGTTCACCTGGGCGCACCTGGCTCGGAATTGCGCGCTCGTTGCGTCCATTGTGGAAGTACGTTGCGGCGCTCGGGAATCGGAATCATACTTATTGCGTGCCGCGCGCGACAGAGCCGCGATTCCCCCTCGGATAACGTTAAACCCTCACACGCGCGACACGCGAACGGCGAAGTGTGTCGACGACATTACGGGAAATACTGACGGGAAATAATAGAGCCGTCGAGAGTATTAAAAGAAAAAGTGATCAGCGAAATTATAGTCATTTCATTTGATTACACACGTAGAGAATATTAGAGTTTTCTTCAAATAAATTCTTTTCGGTCTTACTATGTTTCTGAGTACACCGAGCAAGAAATGCTTGAAGAGTGCGAACAAGTTTAATCTTATTTTGCGTGTTGTGACCAGCAGATGGCTATCAACCATTCTGCTAGTTACAACGGAATTAATTGACGATTGGAACTCAATAAAAATCATTCTAAATTAATAAATACTACTGATAAATAAATACTGATACTACTGATAAATTAATAAATACTACATTTATTGATAAAGACTGCCATCCAATTTCTTATAACACTTTCTATGCATTTTCTGTAAGAGATATGCTATTTATTTTGACAAAACATGTATCTTTTTAGACTATTTTCTCCCAAATGGTAAGGCACATTATTTTGATATTTGTATATCTTTAATCTACCCTTTAATAGCTACAGTTTTGCCAAAAAATAATTTAAGATTTCGAATGCCAGAAAATGAAGCTAAAAACTCATATAAGCTTGGTCGCTGCTTTTATCTATAAGATATAAAGTTTATTTGCAGAAAAAACTCTATATCTCATAAATAAATTTTTAAGCATTTTTTCTTCAGTTTAGTGTAAAATCAATAAAATTTTACTAAAAAACATAGTATATTTTTTAATAGCATATTTCAATTCCTGAAATATAAAATAACATATATGAAATCAAAAGATAACAAATTACTGTCGATTTATTTCTTGATATTATAAAATTCTGTAATAATTTTATATTATAAAGTTCCCTCCGTATAGTCTTTATGCACTGAGAGAAGAATTTAGTAAATATTATCAAAATTTGGTTACTATTACTAAATGGTAGACGTAAATCTATGGCAATACTTATTAATTAATTTAGTTCTGTAAAATAAATTATTTATTTGACAGAAGTAAAATTTATTTGCTTCCAGAATATATTTGGTAAATAAAACTTATTGAATAGTTGAGCAAAATAAGCGATTTTGTAGTAGTTACAAAATTTTTGGTAGGTTCAACCAATCATCTGTAATAATAGATATTGAAACGATGTAATAGCTGCAAATGAATGAATTTTTCGTTGTGCTGCAACAAAATATACTTACACTGGTAACAAAATAGAACTCGTATCTACTCTGAATCTTTTATTACATGGGATATAACAATTTCATAACAATTATCAAATATCTGCTCATAACTGTAACATATTTCATATTAAATATTTAACATTAAGTAACTATTACTAAATTATTTAATTGATGTTACTGTGAATGCAATTACGTCATACTCCCGATATATTAAATATTTGGTAATTATTATCATATTTAGTATTAGTTACTAAGGATTCAATGAATTTCTGTAACTAAATGCAGTTTGTTATAGTTACCAGTCTTTTCCCTCAGTGTGTCTAGATGTCTACAACTAAATGTCTCGGTATTGATTATGAGATGCGTCGAGGCATCATAATAAAAATATTGGATATTTAAACCAGATATCGCATATAAATTCACCATATTACTTTCATAAGACGAGTATAGCGTCATTCACCAAGCTATTTCTCTCAGTGTACATTTTTTTTCTTTGCTTCAGCGAAAAAAATTGGAAGCTGCGATATATTCATATGAGATTATTATCACTAACATCATAGCGGCACTTACTGCGAAAATAGTTTTCCCGGCCGTAATTACTTCGCCGTGCAGTTATGAGCCACCAACATTCGTTCTGCTCGGTGTGATAACCGACGATTCTGCAACGCGGTAAAAATAGTAGTCGTCGATCGGGCAGATAAGCGTCTCTCGAGGAGAGCCACGCCAAGGATATCCTCAGGGAGGAAGTCCTAATACGCGATGCATAGAGTCGTGCCGCAGGGAGGAGGAGAGTCACGGTACCGTCGTAATAGTCACGCTAATAAGAGCAATTAGCATGCCTAATGTTATCGCGGCCTATTGTTATTACATCATTATGTCATTACTGTTATTATTACCATTGGCCGGCCACAATGTATACACACGCGGGGAAAAACACGCTCGTTTGCGGTCGAATATCTCGACACGTATCGCGGTCGCCGTAACGATCGTGCGTTTGTCGGCGATAAACAGGAAAAAAGGGCGGAAAAGAGGGAAAGAGAGAAAAAAAAGAGGGGAGGGAGAGGGAATATCGAGGCGTAAATGCATGGCTGAGAGTGCATCGCTCGGAAGAGGAGCGAGGCCGGCGCCAACCCGGCCGGCCGGAGGATAAACGCGAGGTGGTGGACGGAAACGCGGTGGTGATGGTGGTGGTGGTTGGTGTGTTGTTGGTGGAGGACATGTTCGTGTAACGAGGGAATCGTGTGTCGAGGCGAGAGATCGCTTCCTCGCCATTCCATAACTGGACCGTTATGTGACCGGACTTACGGTCTTCTTCTCGGGAGCGTTACGAGAGAGAGAAAGAGAAGTACGTACACGGTGTCCCGAAAGTATCGCGTGTCCCTTCTCGTAACCGCGGCTACGCCGGCTAATTTGAAGGCTGCGATCTTTTCTCGGAGGGGAATATCGAGGACGATCGCGCCCCGTTCGTCGCGATTGATTCCGGCTGCCTTTGCTGCCTCTGTCGCGTATCTTTCCCCGCGTGTCTCTTCCATTAAATTTCGACTTGGAGCTGACTTGGAGTTACGGCGAAATTCATCTGAAGTTTTGCGACGAGTACGGTGTGATTGTTGCATCTCGTTACGGTGATTTCTCAGCCCCTAATCGGGAGCATTTCATGAATATGTGGAGCGGGGGAAGGGGGTGCGAGAGATCAGTGAAAATTATATATCATACACATGAAAAATAATTGAACAACGATGAGGATTGGCATGCGG